ATGCAATTATAAGAACAATTTCGTGCAACGGTAAAGGTCGTTATAATGCTGACTTATAAAATATAGATTTAATATATACAGGATCTACTATATTACCCTACCACAATTTTACATACATTTCGCTGCAATGAACCGCATTTTTCATCCACATTACCTAAATTATGTGCAATAAACTAATTTTGTAATAACTAAATATCGTGAGAATTACCATCTATCATATGTAGGAACTATTTATGCTCATAATTGCTTACATTCGATCCTGTTTATCAATTCAGCGAAAAGAATCGCTGAATTTGAACTTCAGCTAAACTCCATATTGAAAAGTCACTAACGCCTTGCAAAAAATGACCCAGCAAGATCACCAGCAAAATGCTCAAAATAGCTATTTACGAAATGAGTACAATCGTTTAACCAGATTGGTTATCATACTGGCCCTAATGGTCTCGCTTGGTAATTTATCTTCGATTCGTAGTAACAAGCTACGATACGAATCGATTATGACATTTTCATCTCCTGGTTTTTAGGTTTTCATCGGATACTTACGATTTACAAACCATAAGAATGCAAATGTAAAGTAAAATTCTGGAACGTAATAAATAAATTAATGTCTGTTTAAAAAAATGCTAATTAATGTTTACAGACTTTATTAAAATTAGAAACACGGGTTAAACTCTTAACGTTTACGTAACTAGCTACAACCATACAACGAAGCTGATCCCAGTGTTTCTCAGTTAAGTTTGATTCTACAAAATTGTAGAGACCAAAATCACTTACTTCCATGGTCGGCGTGAGGTCCTTCTGTCCCGGGGCTCATGTCTGCATCCCGTGGTGCACGCGCTGTCTCTGTTTGGGCAGGTGGTGCGTACGGCAGATGGCGGTTCGAAAGGGGTTACGGGAGCGTGCTCCGCGCCAACTGGCCCGCGTCCCGGGTTACGAACAGTGAAGCGCGGCTGCGAGTTCGCTTGTCTCCTGATTTCGAATGGACGCGAAGCCAGAAGATGGAGATATGAAGATCCACAAGACTCCTCAATAAGGAATCCTTCCTCCCCCCCCCCCCCAATTGGAAGGTATGTTCTTTAGAATACACTAACGTTTACTAGAAAATTTTACATTTTTGGTTATATTGTTTATGCGAAAGTTTCACCATCTATTTGAGACAGGAAACAAAACGGTGGGTAACATTTTGCCCGAATTTTCCCCTTTTCCGAAAAAATATTTTTTTTCAGATGTTTGAACACTCACTCAACGGGAGTTATTCGAGCTCTTGCATGAGGGTGAACTCTCTAATGCAACAGATTTACGGAATAGAAAAAATTCTAATGCAGTATGTTTCCGTAATATTATTGGAAGTTTTGCAGAGGCAGTATTAAGTAAGAAGACACAGAGATTCACCTGCCAAATGGAAGGCTTGTAACAGATTGGTAGACAGATTCGCGACCAGGAACCCAGCATGACTGGGCGACGAAATATTGTGTGTCAAGGAAGAAGCGCAGAAAACGACGAAAGGTAGACTTGAAAAAGAATTATCTTAATGTTCGAAGAGAACAAAGATGCGAAAAGTACAGCGAGATTTTACAGATCCATTAAATTCAAATTTGTGAAAGTGACACCACATAGGACAAATGCAGAAATGACTCGTTTGGAAGAGAACATTAAGAAGTTTCAAGCAATAAAATTTAATATTGGGGGTGTAGATATATCTGTTTATCACAAATTATTGAAATTTATGAGGGAAATGTGTGTAATTCACTTATATTAAAGCGTCCTCTCATAGGTTCTTTATTTATGATGCATCTCCAAAGTAAGTGAACAATCTGGAACAAATTATTTAAAAAACCTCACCGCAAGGAAGCTTTTTATGTTGGTCCTTAACCCTGAAATTCGTTCTTCGAGTCCCTTCTTCACATTTCATACACACTATATTTTATATAATGGCGGGCTCGTGGATATGAAGAAAAGATACTGGAAGATCCCAGGAAAACGCAAATAATTGTCAAATTTCGAAAGAAAATGGAACTCCTTATGGACATCCTAAAACAAGGAAGTTGTACATCGAACGACGGGAACACAGTTCGACAATTTTTCCAAAAGCTGGAGCAGTATACTAACTACACTGAGAAAGATGGAAGTCTCATTCGCCGCTCCTCTCTTGCTTTACAAGCATTGAGGAGCCGATATAATGCGACTACGGAAGCTTTCAGAAAAAACGCATTTGAAACAAGAAACGTTAATGCCAGTTTGTACGGACGGATACTTCACGCCTGTAGCAGTGCTAAAATATTAATTCTTGGCGCCGATGTCATTAATAAAATGGTTGTCTCAAAAGGACGAAGACACGCAGGAAGCCCAACACAAAGACTTCAAGTCATGTCAAGAAAGAATTTCTCGAACATCATCTAGAGTACGTGGCAATGAAGATCTGCTTCATTTCCTATTGATTTCTTCTGACTCAGTAATAATAAGCATCCGGCCACTGTCAACTAAGGAAACTGAACAGCTGACGGAAATTTTGAAGTTGTGTATGTTCCTGATGTGATGTGCCACGTAAAGGTAGAATAGTAGATTCAGAGACCGATTAATGTCTACTATTGTAACTTGTGTTTGGTATTACTTTTTATATTTTTTATATGCACTGTTAGATATGAATTAGAATATTTCATTTTGAGTTAGTGTCTCATGAACCTTTAGTAGGAGTAGGCAATTGTTTGCAGTATCTCCTAAGTAGTTCCAACATTGATAACCTGGCAATCCTTATCGACATTCGAGGGTAATGATTTTTTTATATATTTCGTTCCTACAATACAACATAATGGACAGTGACACAAGGAATAATTCTGACCATTTTCAACACCGTCGGCTTTACTGTTCTCTTGATAATATTTTAATACCGCTAGATGGAGATCAACCACCGTGCGGCGGCCGTAGCGGTATTCTAGTACAGATTGTTTTGTTAAGGGACCCGTCCAACAATTGCTGCTGACAAACAAGATCAAACAAAATTACCAAAATCAACTATACTGTATTGCAATTGGTTTCAAAAACAACGAAATGCGCAAACGATGACAGCTAAGCGTTTATTATTGAGTATTAATATTGTAATGCAACCTGGGAGTTACACTATCATAAAGGGAGGAGGGGTCACACTTAAGGTGCGACGGTCTCTTTCAGACAGCAGGGTGCACGCGCGAATTTATTTAAAGGGAGACAAGCGCATGTCTTACCTGATATCCGGTCATCGACGTTGAGCATCTCAGGGGGGTGAGCGCCCTGGGTCGAACGATTACATTTGGCTGACTGACTACTAGCAATACACAGGCTACATTTCTTTGTGTTACCACCCGACAAAATAGCGGGGACACGTTTATTATCGTGGTTAACTGTCTCTCAAATACAATTATCTCTTGAGCTTTCCTTTGGCTGATAATAAGTGTGGGCGTGAATTCACTTACAGAATGGTGATGATTGTGATGTTGCTACTTCACCCCGAAAGGATTACACGTCCAATACCGGTCGTCTGCAGCGGAGGACCCGCTGAAACGCCATAAGAGTCCCCTGTAGTCGCAGGAGCGCTCGCGGATGTCCAACAACAGACTGGGCGGGAGGTCATCCGCGAAATGAGTCTGTTATGATGCGCGGGTCGCAGTCGTCATAGATTGCCTGGACCCCGTCTTGTGTTTTACAGCCGAATGGTCGGTCACATCCTCACGGATAATTTCAGGGTGTTGATCCTATTATCCCAGCCCGGCATCAGGAATAAATTCCGATGCTGGTAGGATTGTGTGAACGTCGATCGTCCGTTGGATGGCTGTTGTCGCCGTTAAATCGAGAACTGTGGTCTCTCTAAGAGCCGACCAATCGCTGTCGAGATTCTTTCTCCAATAATAATGCCATCTTTTTAGCGCCTTCAGCTCACCCTATTCCCGTCCCCACCCCTTTCGCAAAACGCGTGAGCTCTATCACTTGCGTAGCGCGAAGCTTTTCATTAGATTGTTCAAAAGTGTCCAAAACATATCACCCAAGCTCTGTGATTGGGATAAGGGGACCGCACATCTTTGCAACCTTCACTTCTTAACATGTAATTGGTTGTTTATTGCTCTCCACTTAGAGCCTACGTGACTTGACACATGTCTGCAACCCTTCTACGAAGCTTCATGGTTTATTGCCACAGCTAGAGAGCTGCTCCCCAGTCTCTTAATATGACAGTTCCAGGAGTCAATCACCTACTGCCACACAAAAGATCGAAGAAGTGCTTGTTCAGAGGCGGGCGGACGCCGGGGAATCCTTGGGAGGCGGCGCAAAACGAATTGTGCCATTCGCTTGGGGTAATTTTAAAAGGACGTGATGCAAGGGTCGCACTGTGCGATGGGTCATTGCAATATATTAATAAAATTTAGTGTTTTTACTTTAAAACCTGTTAATGAGTGCTTGTGACAACTCATCTAAGACCCATTACTTTAAACTTAAAGAAGAAATCACAAAATATAGTTAGATAGAAAGCTAAAATTCCTTTCTAAATAAATACCCTTGGTGTTTTAAAAAATAGTCTCTTGGGTGTCATAAACTGCTTATTAAAGACAATTTAATAAGTTTTACATTTTTGTTAAAAGTATTATACATAAATAGTTGGCCTTGTTTATAATTTATAGTAATTGGCTTACTTTTTAACACATGTTCATATTTAAAGATTTTCCCTTCCAAAATTCACCTTCTGATCTGCCCCTAGTAGAGATCATAATCACAAAATACAGGCAAAGAAAACAGAGTACAGGTGTAGGGAAATTTTCATTCATCAATAGATATTCGTACAGACTGCAAGCAGAAATTTTGAAAACTATTCTCCATTTCCAAATTCTTAGGAATAAGTTAGAATTAGTTTAGTACCAATAAAGTAAGAAACTTCAAAATCTTATTTCTAGTAAGTTAAAACTTAAGCAACTGAATTGGCCAGTTCAATGAAGTCAATTACATATAAGTGTAGTTTAGCTTATTAAAAGAGAAATTGTGAAAAATATATGTATATATAACTATTTACATTGTGCATTAAATAATTCACTTCATATTAGCACATATTACAATTATATTTTGGATTTTTTCCATTAAATTTTCTCCCCTTGAAGTGCAATCTCTTCAAAATCCATTTCTAAATTACTTCAATTATCCAGAGAGGTCTGCAGGCAACTTTTAGTGACCTAGTTTTTATTAATTCATTCATTTAACTATTTTCATTATGAAACTGCCTGAAAATGGATTCTGAAAAATGGAATTTTCTCTGCATTTTAATTTTTTTTCTTTTCTTTTTTGAATGCTAATTCTACCATAAACCACCATTGAAAAATGCTTGGGTTATTGCCTGTAAATTTACCAATAAGAGGTCAAATAGCAGTTCAATGAAAAGAGATTTGCAATAGATGGCTGAAATACGAGTTTGAGCAACAATATCACTTATTTGAATATTTAATAACCTTTACTAATATCATAAGCAAACCTCTCCTATTTTGTAGCATTACTAGTTTCTTTGTGTTGGTTTAGTTTCATTCACTGTAATTGAGTAAAAAATAAAATAAATTTTTTTCCATACAATTTAATTTCACAAAAACATTTATACACAAAACAGTGAAGAGAATAATTCAGAATGGTTACCTACTCATTTCCGCCAAAATGAAAAAAGAACCAATACTAAAGAACAAAATATGATGAGAGAATACTGTAGAAGCCACAAAAATAATGATACAAAGTATTTATATTTCAAAATTCTGAAGATCCCACAAGATCACTGGGCAATTCTGAAACAGTTTATCTTGTATTACAATTGATTTTCCTGTTTGAGACAAAAAATAGCACAGCAATCTTAAAAAACTATTCCTTATCTCTTTCTATTGATCATAATTCAGGGAAGACTGGACAGGGTGAACACATAAAGCACCACATAATCAGATTAAAGAAAGGTATTTCAAGAGCAAACATCAATATAAAAAAAAAGGCCAAATAACCATGTTTTAAAATATATTGCAAGAGCCTACAAAGTCATTTGGCATTTTCCCAACCTTGTAACTTTCAAACTTTGCACTTGTAATTTGTTCGGTGACAAATGTGATAAACAACATCCCATGAAAGTGGATTCCTTATGAACATGAAGATATTCTCAGGAACAATTTCCAAAACTAAAAAGTGCTAATTCAGCGTCACTGGAGCAACTAGGCCAGTACCTTGAGACCCTGAGTTGAAGGGACACTTCCAAATGAGGAAGGAAAAAACAAAAATCAATAAGTTCTTGTATTGGAGATTTTATTTTAAAAAATGGGAAAATTAATCTTCACAAACGTTACAGCGAATTAAGCTTCTGTAATTACTAAGAGAATAATCAATCGAAACTAGCAAAAACATAATGATTTAGGAACTTTTCCTCGCTTCAGACTCGCCAAATATGGAATATGAATACAGTACTGATTTAGAGGAATTGTAAATATTTACGAGGACGGTAACGTAAACTTCACAAATGGGCAATTTTACTGTCCCTGTTGCAGTAGATAATGGAGAGAAAAAGAAAAAAGGGGTAACTTAATGGTTCTTGGCACTTTTTGTTGAAAAAGTTAGCATTTATTTCCCTACAGTAAATCAAATGTGTGTGGTAAAGTCAGGAAACGGAGTAACAGGTTTCCCTTATGTTAAGTGAAACTACACAATTTAACTCTTTTTGGCACTTTTTATTTAATATGTCATATTGATTAGCTTATCTATTGCCTCCATGTACGTTTTGTGAACTATAGATGTGTATGATAGGGATAAAGGAACCAGCATAACGCCTTATCCCTTAGTCCCAGCTCCCCACAACTCAAGATGTTACAAGCCCATCAAGATATGTTATACAGTTCATAATAATAATGTCATTGGTCATTCACATTCTGAAAATTCCATTTCACCATTGGCACAAACGCACACTAATTTACGGGCAAGAGAACACAGGGATACAACACAAACAAAAATTTTAGTTCCTATGTTTTCTTTTACTACTATTCAACATGTACACATACATTCATTACTCATTACTGGAATGAAATATCAAAGCAACGAACACACACAGATTATCACATAATGTCAGGTGAATACATCCACCAAGAATAGAGGAATGTTTCAAGGACTAAAAAACAGCAGCCTATTGCAAGATTATTCACAGCATATGGTATGATGAGACATACATGACAACAATATATTGCATTAAAATATTCCTAACTTTCAATGGAATGTTATGCAATCTGATGTTTCCTAAATGACAGTCGAGACACATGGCACAATGCAGGCACACAAATGGTAGAAATGTATAAAGCAACATGAATAAATTACTCCATTGAGAATGCCTCCACAGGTACACAAAAGACAACTATATTCACAGTTTCTTAAACAAAGACTTATCAAGTGGATGTAACACCTTTTCTTGCAACCAATAAGTTTAATACAGGATGTTTTCTTATGTAATCCACAGCCTTTTTATGGGTAACCATAGTAAAATCATATCCATTACACTGAAAGAAAAAGAAAACATTGCAGACTTTTTAAACTGAAATGTGTTACAATAAGGAAATTTTATGAGATTAAAATTATTATAGTATGACATCTTTTATCAACGAACAACATGATATTACTTCTGAGCAAAAGATAAACAGTAATGTAGACTATTTGAAAAATTAAAAACTTAGAATGAGCAGAATGTCACCATACTGAAATATTGAAGCCTCAAATTGATTACCTGCAAAATTTTATCATGCATCCTTAATCCTGATTTGGCAGCAGGACTGCCATCATGTACTTCTGTAACGTAAATTCCCTTAAAATAAAAATAACAATAGTTATTCGCTTGGGCATAATAATTAACAAAACCCAGAGACAACTTTAATTACACCAAATTTTTTATCATCATAAATCTACATGAACTATGAACATGTGAGGGAAAATCTTTACTATGATAAATAAATAAAGATATTGTCTGGTATCAATATTATTCTGCAGAACTTTGTTTTCGGCCCAGAAGCTGCAAGCTCTGAGGATGATCGCTACGCAATCGAAACGATCATAAGCTGAATTAAAATATTGATACCAGACAATATCTTTATTTATTTATCATAATAAAAAGGTATCTACCTCACCAGCAATCCAATTAATAAAATCTTTACTACTGACAACTGATGTAAAAGAATTTGTGACTCTTGACATTTGTATGTCAGCAGGCAAGGGACGCAGAATAAAGTAAGTAATCAAGAACCATACTTTCAGAGCCAACATTATTTAACATAATTTGTATTACCTCAGTACCTTATATATTTATAGGATAGATTAGGTATATTAAATTTCCATTCAACACTACCATAAAACAAACATCCAAAATGATGCAGTATCTCTCAGAAACACCCTTGTTGGAGATGTTAAAATGAAACCTGTTTCTATAAAACACAATTTGTTATTATTCACACATATTAAAATCTATGGATTTTTCTGCAGTCCTTGTCCATATGTACAAATTATATCAACATATTCTATGCATATTCCTCACGTTTTATGAAGGCGAGACTCAAACCAATAAGCCGACTCTTCTGTCTGATCATGCAAATTTTGCTATGCTTCTATCACCATCTACTAGAGAAAGAATGTATCCCTCAGATGACGGAACATATGATTTTGAATTTAGCTCAGAGGCTTCTTTTAGGTTTGAGGATCTTTTACATGCAGTAAATCTACAGCATGGAGCAGTCAGCTTTAATTTCCCTCTAAAGAAAGGAACTTGAATTTTTCTGTCCTTAAAAATCCATGGTTTCAATGTACAGTTTTGTACCTGCAGACTTGGGCTTAACAGCTCAACACACTAAATGCTACATTAATTAACAATATAAAATGGATTAGTTCAATCAGTTCATATTCCAGGTTTCAATTCACCAATCAACCTAACATGTCTGCAATTTTGTTCTGACACATATCTCATACAAAGATCACATACAAAGATTAAAGGAGTCTCAAAGACTTCTAGGAACAAATGTACTGTAAACCCCAGATCTCTAATGGCATCTGAGAAAATCAAGGAGATATCAGGGAGGAGAAACTCCCTGTGTGTTATGTAGGTTGTTACTGCATCTCACATTCTAGCAGGATAGGAACACTGCCACCTCCCAAGATGCACTGAAGCATGCATTACACTTAGGAGACTAATGATTACAAAAGTTGATACATTCATAAACATGAAATATTCGATCGATGAATGAATTTGATGTATCTTACAGATTTCGCACAAGCAACATAGGATTAACGTAAAATGTGCTGAAGAAAAGTTTATATTCAGTTTTTACATGAAATGCAGTACTAATTGTGTACTACGCCTATTAACCTGAATTCCAAGAAATGATAATACACTTGTAGAATTCTGCTTTGCAAATTTCAATATTTTTTATATTAAATTTGTAAGGCTGATTGTTCAGTTTTACAATTTAAAATGATAATAAACAAGTGTATTTGTCTATAAAAAAATTAAGATTTAAAATGAATAGAATAATTATAATGATGAAATTAACTTATCACCAGTAACTTGCATGAGTTGTGACAGACTGTTTCCCTTCACTGACAGAGTATCAAGAAAAAACATGCAGTATTTAACATTTTAGAATAGAAAAACAAAACCTTATTTCAAAAAATTTGAAAAAAACAAACAAATTATTATTTCAAAAAATTTTGATAATTCCACCAAATGCAACCTAGAAACCTTATACAAAAATGGCATTATGTCAATTTTGGACTATCATAAGAATATGACTACTAATATCAACCCAGATAATGGTAATATGAATGAATTGCTCTAATAATTATGTGGCAAAGAATGTTAATACATTAACATTTCATGAAAACATTAATTCAACCTACATAATCTGTGTATCCTTGAGGGCTTTTCCGAAAATCTTGATCTATACCGCCTCCAATTTTAAAACCACATTTCAAAACTTCAGCTCCTTCGTGATCCACTCCAGGCTCCTTGTGCAGGGTGATAGGAATCTAGGAAAAGATGCATTATATTTCAAAATTATCGAGTGAATTGCACGCCCAGTGACTCATCATGAGCCATGACCCATTTCTTAGGAATTGTGCTCATTGTCAAAAAAATGATTTTTTTTTATTTATAAGCAATATTACATAACACATGCACAAAATAGAAGCTTTGAATAGAAAACTTACGCTTAAGCATTCCATTGCCGTCCCTGCCTGGTGTTGAAATGCCATTTTGGCACACATTTTGTTTAGTGTGTTTGTTACTATTTTCTTCACAAAAGTAAACGTAATTATTAATACGTTGCACCAGACGATACGAAGCAATGAAGGAACGGACTGCTGTTGTTGTTACGCAAACAAATTAGTAGTGTACAGCAGTCAGACCTGAACAGGCGCTCATCCACTCCAACATACAGCACGCCCCGTCGCGCAATTCTCGACTGTTATCCTATAGCTCCTTCCCATCTGTTACAGGACAGTATAGTAATGATTGGAGTGGGTCATGAGAATTCATTTCACCTTAGTGTCACAAATTCCCAAGCGAAAATAGTACTCTTGGAAGACAACAGTTAACAACTGTTTAAAGGGAAGACAACAAAAAACGCGAAAATTAATTACCTGAAAATACGATAGGTCTTTGAAAAATCATGTTTGCCCTACAAAAATTTGCAATGTTTCCCAATAATTGTCTTGGGGTAAATAAACACGAAATGTTAATATATCATATATATCATAATATATCATATTTGTTTCTAGTGCCACAAAATACAGTAGTGGGCTGATTTTACAGAAATGGTTCCTACGCCACAGAGCATGCGCAATGCAGTGCACTAATGGGTCATGTAGCCAACATTAAACAATCTAATTTCCAGATTCTACGTTGTGCAGGGGCTCCTAGCTTCATAGGGCTGGGCCTGGCCTGCGTTTTTGTCGCAGTGGGACCACTGGACACGCAAAGAAATTACCATTAGTATAGTTTGACTTATTTCTGAATCAGATAATGTTTTCTAAATATTTAAAGGCCATTCAAAAAATCATGACATATGTCATATGATTAGAGAAACCGCAATATTATTAGAGCACCTTTTCAAAGTAAAACGTTTCTTCTATCATCATGGTTATGTACAAGTGTGAGACTTTCATGAAAATGTTGGTATTATTCAATTCTTCTTCCGTGATCTGATTCATTTCTTGTTATTACAACTATAGGTGTTCTCGGATTTCTGCTATTGCTGATTGCACCCGGAGAGCAATGGAACCAAATGGAACTAGTTCGTGATACATGCTGGTGCTAGGAGGATTATTGTGCGAACGAAGTGTTTTAAAAAGTGATTTAACGTAGATGATACTAATAATTTTCTTGTCCGTGGAAAATATTTTTTCAATATAGTGTGCGAGAGACTGGAGTTCCTGTTTTCAAATTGTAACCTTGTGTGACCAGTGCAAATTGAATTTTTGATGTAACGTTTTATGTTGAAGGGTGGTTTGAAGTTTTGTTCTATATTATGACAGATTTCAAAGAAGTGTAATTCATGTATTAACAAAATGGAGCAGAACTGCCCTGTAACGTCTACTGTATCGAACCCAGTCGAAAGTCCTAAACCTCCTCCTTCAAGCTGTGGAAGTGCAAGTTCTCCAAAAGTTGATCGAGAATCACCGGAACCCAATTGCGCCATTTGCCTCGGTAAAACAGAAAATAAGTCCTTTACAGACAGTTGTCTGCATCAGTTTTGCTTCAATTGCCTGTTGAAATGGTCCAAGGTATTTTTTTTTAAATTTAATCTACTTCTGCTTTTGTAAAAGTGATGTTATGAATAATTCATTTACTATAATTTTGAAATCTAGGTGAAAGCAGAATGCCCGCTTTGCAAACAGAGTTTTAAGTCTATCATTCATAATGTTAGATCGAATGAAGAGTATGAAGAATATCATGTTGAAGTAGGAAGAGAGCCACCACAATATTGGCAGGAGGTGGAGTCAAATGTAGTACATTTTCGTTACAGGTAAGATAAGAAGTAAGATGACATTCTTTTTTGGCATCAGTAGCTAAAAGGAGTGCAGGTGTCAGTGCATGACGCTCATAAGTTTCTCGCTTTACTAAGAGGAAAGCTAGCATATACTTTTCAGAAGTCTTCATTTGTAGATATTAGGCACAATTTTGTATGTTTTTATTGCAGCAATGCAAGCGTTTGAAGGTTTGTTTACTAAATGATGTCTGACATCCTGCACTACATGTTTCTATATTAATTAGTTTTAATTATACCATAAGGATTTCTTTTTTCTAATTTTTCCAAAGAAACTTATGTATTTCAGAAGGGTTGATTTTTTAGGATGGTAGTTTCTATTGTATTCAATTTTACAACGTGACACCCTGTAAATTGTTTATTTTTAAATAATTTTTATCTGAGACTAGCAGACCCGACAGACTTCGTCCTGTCAAAAAGATTTGTAATGTGAAATTTTTTTGTTCCTACATATTTTATTGTCTGGGCAAAAACTTCTCCTGAACAGAACCGTCACCTTGGTGATAGGGCGTTGTGAATAAGAAATATAATTAAATAAAACATATATAAACATTTAAAAGTAAGTAATCGCTTTATTGTTAATCATGTGAATTATAATTATTAACAAACATCAGTTTTATTTTCATTGTAGTGCTTTGCGATATTCGATGTTTTTTTGTTTGATTACCTGGCGCATAGACAAACAGATCTGATGGTTTTCCAACACGGGAACAGACAACATACAATTGACCATGTGAGAAAAATGGGTTTTTCAGATTAATACCACAAACACTTAATGATTTCCTCTGGGACTTGTTTATAGTCATAGCAAAAGCAAGCCGATCTGGAAACTGTAGTCGTTTAAAGTCAAACGGCATATCAGTCGGAATCATTGGGATGCGCGGTATGAGGACGTCTTCTCCTTTATACTTTCCTTTCAGTATAGTTGCCTACCAAGGATTGTTTAGTAATTTTTTTATACATAAGACTGTGTGCCGTTCAAAGATGTGGTTGGTTGAATATTTCGCACATTATAACTACCGATCCAACTTTAATTAAATTGGCGAGGTAGCAAATCCTGGCAAATCAGCGAATTTAAAAATTCTAGGTGATAGTTCACTACATCCCATTTGGTTAGTAGCCCCATCACTGATTTGTATATATCCTCGATTCGCCTGTAATGTGTTTCTTTGAATTTTAAATTTATTCATTTACATCTTATAGTTTTTGCCAGCCAATATTAGCTCGTTTGCTCAACCAATCATGTTTTCTGTAATTTTGAGAAACATCTGGAAACACCCTCTGATAAGTTCATCCTTTTTTAATCGAGTTAACTGACAAAAACTCTTTGAGAAAGTTTAATGCAGCCAGTCAACACTGTCTATAGAAATTTGCCATTACAATGTCAATAGGGTGTTTAGAAAAATATGTTTCAAGATTGTCATTTGCAACTCGCATGCGATTATTTCCTTGCTTAAAATGAAGTACTTTGACATGTTTCCAAACAGAATGAGGAACTTTAGAACATGCGATTGAGTTCATCAGTTGGTGTTGATCGTGGATATTTCACTGACAATGTTTGACGAAAATCTCCTGCTAATAAAACCATTGCACCACCACATTGGTTATGATTGCTCCGTAATCTTTTTAAGTTCTGTCTAAAGGCCTCCAAAGATTTTTTTTATGTGCCATCGTGCATCATCCCAAATAATTAATTTACATTGACTGCAATGACCTTTCCGTGTTGCAGAGTTCTTTTGAAAATGTTGCAGGTCGATCTCATGCCTTTGCAATATTTAATGGCAATTTAATGCTGAGTGGCTGATCGACACTTCAAGCCAAGTTGCTGTGATCCTCGCGAAGCGAGTGCAAGTGCAATTTTATTTGTGAGCGAATCGTTGCAATATAATGAAATCCAAAAAAGTTTTCCGGTGTTACCACCAGGTGCATCTAAGAATGTAAATCCCGTTCAGTTTCATCATTTGTTACTTTCATAAGAGTATCAAATACATACTTCTGTTTGTTAGTTCAATAGTAGTAAGATTTGTTTGAATTAATCTTTCAATATGTTGAGATCATACAGTTTTTCTCGACAATTCTTGGTTAAGAGCATCAGCATTGGACCAATTGCACAGCCGCGACTAATTGAATTAATAGTTTGTTGACATCATCAAGCACGTGGTCCTCAATTGAAGGATCAATTGCTTCGTATTGTAAATTCTGACTAAAGGATGATGTATGATCTTAATGATAAGGGAAATGAAGATTAGTGACGCAGTCTTAACTGTAGTGACAGAACATAAAATAATTATGATTAAGCTGCTTTAATACATATCTTGAAGTTGGCATAAAAAATTTTCCCGAACTACATCTGATGACCCAAATGAAGTCATTCAAAAGGCAATTATATTGTGGATATTTGTCAAGAAGTTATGAATCTGTTCTTATGTCCTGAAACCAAGCATGCAGTACAATGCCTCTGGTGGTGTTCCAATGGTATCAATTTCACTTTACCATTGCGCAATACAATCCATTTAGCTGGTTTTGATATATGTTCAATGCCTGTACAATATGAGAAAAACGACGCTGTCATAGAAGCCAATGAGAACAAACAAAGTGTAGTCTACTGTAGTCAAATTGACACAATCGCTAACGAAAGCAGCTTGATTCCAAACTTGTATTATTAGTCGCGCTTCACGCATTTGTGATATCCGAATTCTTTCACGTTCATGCGTCGTCACGTTCTTGTTGCAGCATGATTAGATCCGGCGTTAATTAGCTTGCGTTTGTTGCATTTCGGGTTCCTGTCTACCTAAATTGCTCTACGGCTAATGAGGAGGCATATCTATATTATCAGAGTATTTTGTTAATGTTCGAAACGCGACCAATTAAAATCCTCCAACGATGTATAGTGTGCAAATTGACTCTTTACAATTAGACCATAATCCTACATTGTTTAAACAACAATGAGTGCTTTATACAATAGCTATAAAGCTCAAATTGACTCTACGTTTAGTTAGAAAACGTTTGTATGGGAAGAAGAAAAGGACTGTTTTTAGTTTTCTCCGGCAATTACTCGAATTTTTCTCAACGTAAAAACCATCCTTGAACTTCCATGAACATTTAAAAAAAAGAATTGGCCAAATTGGTCCAGGCGTTGTTGAGTTATGCACTTACCAACTCATTTTGACATTCATTTTTATATTATAGATTTGTTGCTTTGGTTAAAGTAAGGTATATGGTACACCCTTCGAGGAGAGTGGGGGTGGTGGTTGTGGGGGGGGGTCTCCTTAAGTCCTCCCTCAAATTACGCTACACACTGATGGAAATGAATAAAACTTATGGATATGCAATTTCCATGTCTCGCCCTTCATACGCTTTGTCGCAATTTCCATGTCCTCGTCGCATTGTAATGTCAATTTACTTTCAAAGGCAGTTTCTTTTGCTTTCGCTAACACGAATCTAAGTCAAGGCGAGGCTAGGGCCTTTGGCCTTCGCGTTCACTATAAACATACTTGAGCCTATCCACTGCATAGTTACCAATTCATTTTTATAAGAAAGCCTCCAATTCAAACTGCACAGTTGCCACTGGAGTGGTGCAAAGTGCCGGTTGAAATGTCTTCCGTAAGTTGTACTGTATACTAGACTTAGCTGTTGCTTTCTTTAAAATTTCGGTTGATAATTTTTGCTGGAAGACTTTAGTGTAAGTAATAAATTGACACTCATTTGTGTTCACCATTAATTGTCGTGGAAATGTGGCAGGTCTAAAGTGATGCTGTGTGCTTGATTTTATTATCATTACTTTATTTGCATGAGTAGGAATAGATTTATTCTGTACATCTGAAAAGTACTTGTGTACAAGGTTGCTTCCTTTTTGGTACAGTATATGATGATTGTGGTAGAAACTAGTGTTCACATTTGGGTGTCTTTAATTCCTGTTTTGTGTGTACATGTGCTCTGCATTCTGATGCTGTGGTTTGTATTATGGTTGCCAACGTATTGGGAATCATAAATTTAATTTTTACTGTTTCAAACACTTTACTAAAGTACTAAAGAAATACAAAATATGTTGTTTTAATGTATTAAGCTGATTTTTGTCAACTGCACAACTAAATAAATCATACTATACAAATTGACCAAAGACCATTTTTGGCACAAAAAGTTAAAATAGTCGGAATAAAAGTTTTTTCTATTGAACAGAGTCGTTCTCTAGTATTGCCTATCTGTCTCTGTTGTCAATGATTACAGCATTCACACATTTAAACGAAGTTTAGACCAATTTTATACTGTTCTCTGTTGATTATCATTTCCTTTTTTCCTCCTTCTTTTGTAATTTTCTTTTCTATTTACCATATTGTAATTTTATATTTCTTTTTCATATGTATCTTTGTTTTATCATGATCAGGATTGTCTTGCCTGTTCATGTATTTAGTAAATAAATTAATATATTTCTGCTTTTCTCGTAATTGTCATTATGGAGCTACCGATGATCCCATGTATTGAGATTGTACAGAGTCAGGTTGAAAAACTTATTTGAAGATGAAAAAGTGTTTTTTACTAGTGAAATTATCAATGATAAAAAGTTCAAAATAAAGTTCAGCTGTAAGACCCTGCTTGCCATAAAAGTGCACATTCTGGCCTGCTTGCAATCTGAAGACTATACTAAAACTGCAGATCTTGAAGATTTAATGTGAAATAAGTTACGAATTATAAATTTCTTCGGAAAAAGACATTTACAATAATTGTGAAGTTCAACTGGTTTTTGTAAGTACTTCAAAACTGTAAGATGTTAAGGTAGTTAACCGGAAAAAGATATAGAGGGTGTTAAACAGTCAAAGAGAAAACAATATAAATAAAATTCACATATTCAATTCAGAATGGTACTATTTGAATTGTAATGTGGAATCTCAAAGAAATAGCATATTACATAGTGCTATGTCAGCTGTAAAGTATCAAATTTGAAAACTCACTACTTTTCAGAACACGATAACCTGATTCAA